CCCGCCGTTAACGGTTTCGCGAAACACTTAAGACAACCCGCCGTTAACGGTTTCGCGAAACACTTAAGACAACCCGCCGTTAACCGTTTCGCGAAACACTTAAGAGACCCCGCCGTTAACGGTTTCGCGAAACACTTAAGAGACCCCGCCGTTAACGGTTTCGCGAAACACTTAAGAGACAGTTCTCTTAACGGTTTCGCCGCGAAACCGTTAAGCAACCGCTAAGCGAAACACGTAAGAGGGCCTCGCCGTCACACACGGCTACGTGAAGGAGCATTGGAAAGCGTCGCGCAAGATGCTTAACTCGAGCGTTAAAAATAAAGTTCAAAGGATCTATGTATTTCCCAGTTTGCACTTGCAGGATACGATGTTTGATATCGTCGTAGCCATAACACTGAGTTCTTCTTCCGTTCTTGCACACGGGCCGCCATCATGATCTTCCCGCCCCTCCTTTCCTCTCGCTTCACCTAAGGTCCCCCCTTCCTCCTGAGTGTAACTCCTACCATTTGTATACGGCTCTTGCGTACTCCCAAGTGCTCGCGAGAGGTCGTCTAGTGAATCCCGGATTTGTCCTAGTCGGCGCTCGGATAACGCGCCCTCTGGTTCCTCTCCAGGTACCTCATTCACGAACATCGGCATCGCCGCGCGCTCCCGCCAGAGTGATACCAACGAGCGTGAGGAGAGATTAGAAGTGCTAGATACTTCTTCAGTACTTATACTTATCACGTTGTGGAAGAGAGACAGTGATTGATGATGATGTTCTCTGTCATAAAATAAGTCCTGGAGAAAGACGACTGTGTCTTGAAGAGCCTGTGGATTGGCGCTGTGCTGCTCCTCTTCAGCTGTTTTGTTAGTTGCGAAAGTGAGTACTGCGTTAGTGCAGCTGCGGCATCGGGCTCATCTTCTGGTGCGTCTGTTGCGTCATTCTCAGGAAGGACTACTACAGGCTCTTGTCTCTCCGAAAAGCAGACGGAAGAGGATTTGTTGTTGGATGTTAAACGTTGATGCTGTTGGAAACTATGATCCTGTTCACTTGGTAGTTCTTCTGCATTCGTTCCCCTCGAGTTTCTTGTACACGCTGCCACATCACTTCCACACGCTGCCACACCAGCAGTATTCGGCTCTTCTATGCTAAGCATGGCACCGACTTCTCCTGTGTTCTCCATACTACTCGGAGAAATGCTGGAGGTATTCATCTCTAGCAGAGGACTCGAATTTGAATATAGAGAATCCTCCTCTTCTTCGTAGCTCTGCTGGACTATGGAGGCCTCTACTTCGCGGAGGTGGTGAATACAGGAGTCTTTTTGGCCTCTTGTGTCTTCTCCTGCGATTGGAAGTTGTACTGTTCTTGGGGTACAACTGCTGTCTTCATCAAGCTCGTGTAGTGCTACTTCTGTACACGTCGTGCTCGCGCTCTTCTTCTTTCTAGCACTGCTCAGGGGACAAAAGTCCTTGCCATTCGTTTCCGTGCACTGTGTCGAGACTAGTTTTTCATACTCGTTTGTCCAGTCATCGGCACTCACATGAACACGACCCTTGAGTACTTGGAGAAAGAGGAGTTGGCTTTTCAGCACGTTCTTCCGCGAAAAGATTTTGCTCTGCATTAGCTGGGACACGTACGGGCGCATCGAGTCTCGCACCACCCGCTCTAGACCTTCCATACAAAAGCACGTGCTGGACGAGGAACAAGTAGTGCTTGAACTTGTGGCAGTACTAGTCGTTCTAGTTGTAGATTGACTTGTTTCACTTGTCTTGTTGGTACCACTTGTCGATAAACTACCCACAGCAGCAGTAGTAATACTTGTAGGAGGAGTACTACTCTTTGCCCCGTTCTCGTTCCTCCATGACCTCATAACATTCTTACTTGTCTCGTTGTTGCCTGGTTTGGTCGCAACATTTTTGTGCTGCATCTCGAATCCGTACTCAGTGTCGAAAGTAGGCCATTGTTTAGCGGCATAGGCCCACTCATGCAGGGCTGGGCAATTATCTTCGAACCCAGGTATTGCATTCATTGCGGCGGCTAAGGAAGTTAGATGCTGACAAGCTACAGATATCAGCTGAAATGCCGCAGACGCAGCCGCTACTGACAAGCTATAGATAAAACTTGGAATTCATGATCATTGAGCAAATCAAAAATCATTTTGTCATCCATAGAAATAATCGTTCAGTTATAACCAATCATGTTGAAAAGTAAGTGGTCGGAACAAACGGAACACACCTAACCATCAGAAGCCTAGAACCGGAAGTAATCCTAAACTCTAGATCAGACCTAAACTGATCACAACCACAGCCTACATCCTCCTAAGCACTAGCAACTCTTGACAATCACACAGAGCCACTAACAACTCTTCATGAGCCTAAACCTTCCTAAACTACTTTCCTAAACCCTCACAGCCTACTTCCTAATTCGTAACAAAACCAACGGCCAGTTCGAAGAGTCGACTCGGCCTCCGTGTGCGCGGAAACGCCTCAAAAGTATAAGCACGTTGATCCAGACGTCCGGTTGTACCACAAGGTAGCTCGTCACGTGGGACATGAAGTCGCTGTTGAGGAGATTTCGAGGTAAGTCGTCACGTGGGACATGATGAAGTCGCTGTTGAGGACGTGGTCTCGATGTTGGTATAAACATCTTGATCTTCTGTATTCGTTAGCTAGTTCTCCACCGAAATATTGTAATTGCTTGCTATAGAAGTACAAGAAAATTCTTTTTAACCAAAAACTCATGTACCAACATTACATGTTCAACAAGGCACCAATTCATTGAAGTACAGAATGAGAATCACAAGAACAACAGTAGTGAGTCATACCCAACAGCTTTTCCGCAAATCGGTTTCGTCCGCGCGACGAGTGTCTCTCGGTAAAAAAATTGTCGTCTCAAAAAACTGGGGAAGTGGCGCGCCGCTGACTCTAGTACGTCTGGCCCGATGCTCCGGCTCTTTTGGTTTATTTCTTGAGTAGCTCCTGGTGCTGGGCCGCCCAACATTATTATAGTTCTAGAAGTAGTAGGAGTACCATTTGTTCTAGCAGTAGATTCTCGTTCCTGAATATCGCCACGCTCCACCTCTTTCGCAACACTGCGGGCTACTGCTGCAATCATGGCATCAAATATCCGCGCTTCTCGTCGTGGAGATGGATGTTCTTGTGCAGGAGACATGGACATCTTCCTTCTTGCCGACGACGCATTCGATGATGATGACGATGATGCGCTACACCCAGTCAAAATTTCTCTCTGTGGTAGTGGATGTCCCATGGGAACCGCCTCAACAGTGCCTGTCGTTGTTTGGCTCGAGGAAAAGTACGAGCCTGCTGCGGTTTTATCGCGTAAGACGGGAGACATGTTCTTCTTCTTTCACTTTGTTGAAGTCGCTTCTTTGTTACAACGATACACAAATCACTTTTTAGTCCATTGGGTCTCAGGACACCTACCTAATAGGCATCATGGCCTGGCGTGTATTCGGTCGTAACATGTTAAATCTAATGGTACTGAACGAAATTCGTAAACTGTTTTCAGTCGTCAGCTTTGTCTTCCAATGATCGTAAATTATTCCATTTTTCTCGTATTGGCATATCTCACAAACAAGTTCCCGCCATTCATTTGATCACTCACGACTGGCCGTGCGCTCAGTGCTTTTATCTCTCCCTCTCTCTCTCTTTGAGGGGTCGTTTTGCGGTACCGTGTACGTGTTGGCGACGAAGTAGTGCATCTCCGTGCTACTTACTCTTATTGACATGGCAAAGTCAGGCTACTTCAAAAAACCTGAGCGGTTCGCATGTTTTGCCTCGTGCGCTGTTTTTACATGATTTATTTCATGTCCTCCTGGAACCCTTTCCTGCCGCAAGCGTACATGACATGTTCCCAGATATGCTTTCTTCCAAGTTATCTCGAACTCCTTCAACCGAAGAAAGCTACATCATGCAAGCCATAAAAAATAGAAGTGCTATCCCCCCCCACTAAATAATACACTCTGGTGTTTTCCAGCACTCCCTGAATATCTCTACTAGGCAACGCAAGCCAAGTCAGCCGCTCTCCGTACTACGCAACGCAGGCTAAGTCAACTTCTCTCCTGACTAAGCAACGCAAGCCATCAACTTCTCCATCCATTGCTCTTTGGTCCACCCGGAACCGATGTCCGAGGCCTCCGTATCGTTGATGAAAACCGTAGGGGTGACATGCACGGATCGGATCCGGTGATATTTGGCCGAGTATTTGACGCTGATCTGAATCTGCTGAAATTCCGCTGAGGCTTGACCAACTGCGACTAAGTTTAACAGAGGGGTGTTAGAAGGTGTAAAAGTAGTAACTTTTGCCTCTGCTATGTTGGCTTTTTGAAGTAGATAGCACAAATTTCAAATTTATCATCATGATAACAAGCTCTGATGATATCCATTTTTACCTACTGTGCTAGGTGATCACATCCATAATGACAGTATGCTAAAGACGATACCAAGCAACACCAACAGAAATATTTCCAAATGATTAAATCCTTTTGTTCAAGCAGCATAATCTTGACTTTCTCCCGGTCATCCTCTTTTACGAAAATCCGATTGGCATGTGTACTGGCGGCAGCGACTTCCAAGCATAGATCATGCAGTTGGACCCGTGACAAATGACAGGTCTGCCAATCCTCAAATTTTTCGGTCCGCTGCTCGAGAATAGCAAGCAGAAAGGGCCAACATATGAACAGGCGATAGCAGTGGGGTGAGAAGGCTTAATCGATACTGCGAAAGTGAATGTGACTAAAATGAATATATGACAATACGTGTTCCAGGGCATCTTCCAAATTGCAACAACAAAATCTTTCTGGAAAGCGTAGAGCCATGTTTGAGTATGTACTAAGTGTATGAGGTCAGTATGAAGTAGTCTCAAAAAAAGTGAATCGATAAGCACGACCATCATAAAATATCGATCCATTCCAAGCGAAAGCGCCACAGCATGCGCCGTTTCATGCATCACGCTGCTTGGAGTATGAAGGCTCCTCAGATACAAAAATGTTGCAGCAACTTCATGATTTTGGTTCCAACGAAAAACAAATTCACAGTTAATCGAATCCTTCTTGAACAAAAAAAATAAAGAATAACAAAAAACAATAACATCTCGAAGAAATCTTATAACCACTTGACTTCCCCGTTATATTACGAAATGAATCGTCCATAATGACAATGCCAGGGCTGGACAATGGGTTGGACGATGAATTCGACCTTTCCAGCAAGTTCTGGCCGTTCCGCTATCTCCGGGATCACTCCATCTACCAAAGTCTTCATCATCTTGCCGGAAAAAGGGTTCTTAGAAGTCGATGTCATGTAAAGAGGCGCAAACAACTTTTTTTGGCTTATCCGCTGTTGCGACAGCTTTGCAAACTTTTAAAGAAGGGACTTCTACTTTTATTCGTGACCCGCTTTGCAATCCACAAAAAACCATCGGAGGTTTTCAGGGAGGACGCGCAGGCACTGGAAGCTTGAAAGAGATGACTTGACTGGAATCTTGAAAGCACGCACAGCCTCCCTCTTACTGTTTTCCTCAGGTATATAATTACCTATTCGAAAAACTGAAATAACCGAGTAACTACTTGAAATAAGCACAGTTGAGCCTGAATAAGGAAGAGTAGCCCTGTCAAACCTACTTACCTCCCTTATTTCAGTCACTTACTCGGTTATTTTCAGTTTTCGAGTATCTGCTTATCAATCTCTGTCTCGTCGGTATTTCTTTCCATAAGGCAACATAGGTCCTGAAAAAGCTCGATTTTTAGGACGGGCTGTCCGGTACAAAGACCAGCAGCAAAGCCGATCGGACGCGACGGAATTGGAGGCGGCATTTTTGATGCTACTAGTGAAAAAAAAAAGTTAAACTGAACAGAGCAGAGACTTTTGCTTGCTTTTCCTCAGAGTGAGAACAGTTACAGCACAAGAACTACAGTTACAAAAAGTATTGTGTACCTCTACTCAGAGAAGGACAACAAAATTACGGTCATAAAAATATTGCGTATCTATACTGCTCGCGAAGGACCGTAACAGGCCCAAAGTCCGCTCCGGAGGGCTATAGTCTACGAAAAAAAGACTTGGAGCTGTGACAGTCTAAGCTTCGCCACCGCAAAGTCATTTGTTGCGAAGATCGCTGGGCGACTTTGATACTTACTCCCACTTTCAGATCGTGTCGGAGAGTTCTCCACTTTCAGATCGCTTCTGGTCAACACAACAGGAACAGAGCAAAGTGCCAAGCCGCCACTCTTCACACGAGACCAAGGTAAAAAGGAAGACCGGCGGCACCCATTCCCAAGGGGTGAGGAGGCCTGCGGGCTATTTCGTGGACCCAGCGCCGCCAGCGCGTATTGCCTTTGACCAGCTGCCAGCGCAGGTGAAAGGAAAAGCAGTTTGACACGCATCGCAATGTCGACGGAGGCCGGGGCCCGGGCCGGGGCCCTGCAGCAGAGTAGCGCTAGACGCAAGCTTCGCCCGCCCGCGGCTTCGCGGCGCGCTTCAGGGCGGGCCGCGCGGGGCTCCAGGGCCGGGGCTAGGGGCTTTTCCTTTTAAAGGCCTACATACTTCGCGCCCCGTAATTGCAAGCTTTTTACTTCATTAAACAATCGGCCCGGGGAAGCATAAGACCCGGCCAGCCATTCTCCTCCTACCTGTGTAAAGTCGCGGAGTTGGAGCAAGGGGCCACGAGGACGAGCCCGTGCCCGCTGGCTTGGTTTCGAACCCCGTACCCCAAGCCGGGCAGCCGGTCCGCGATCGGTCGGCGACTTATGCGGACCGCCGCGTCGCCTGCCTTCTCCTCCCCGGCAAGCCCGGCCGCTTGAAGACATTGCCGGAAGGAGTCGCAAAAGGCCCCGGCTTTCTGGGCAGTTGCCGCGCTGCCGCCGGTCTGCTTTGCGCTCGTGGCGGCAGCACGGCAACGGCCAAAAGAGCCGGGAAATTTGGCGACTTCTGCCAAAAAAGTACCACTAAGGGCAAAGGCCTTCCATTCTCGTCTGACGCTGCGCTGCCGATTAACGTGGACCAAATCGCATCGCCCGAGGCCGAGTCCGTCACAAGACGGCAGGCGCCGAAAGCGCTGGTCACGAACGTCCGGCAAAAGTGTCCACGAAATAAACCCGGGAAAGCCACAACGACGGCAACGCGCGAGGCCCATCAGCGTCTCCGCCCTTCTTTTAAGTGGAAGAGTTTGGACGCAGAGACTTGCCACTCCGTGGGTGGGGTGGCTAGTGTGTCTGCGCGGGTTTCAGACGCAAAAGAAGAAAGCACTCAGAAAAGGGCGTGCACCAGAGCCTTGTCCCCTTAAAAAACGGCCGCGGACGTTGGGGGGCCTCGTTCATAGCCGTCGCCGTTCCTGGTTTTCGTAACCGCGTCGGGCGGCGTCCGTTGGCGCTTCTGCCGCTCGTGTCCCCGGGCCCCGTTGAATCGTTCAGAACAGGCGGAGCCGCTTGGGGATTCAACAGGAGCGCGGGGGCGCAGTGAAACCAGTGGGGAAAGCTTTACCACTAGCCTGCGGCGGCGCTTGCGTGCTGTCGCCTGTACCGGCGCAGCGGCACCGGCGGCGCGCCGTGGACTTTGTCCGGCAAGATTCCGCGCGGCTTCCCTTCGAATTAACGCGAGAGAAGGAGGCCCGGCGCCGAGGTCTTTCGGTCGACGTTGTGAGGGCGTTTTAAAGCGGCGCCGCAGAGCGGTCCGGCTGCTAAGCCGCAGGGCCATGGAGTCAGCAGGCGCGCGCCGCGTCGGCCTGTCGCGGCCCGGCTGCTAAGCCGCAGGACCATGGAGCCAGCAGGCGCGCGCGCGCGGTCTCCTGGCACCAAAAGCCGCGACCTTTTCAAGTGTTCACCTTGAAAGCCCTCCAAAAGTCGGGACTTTTTTCAGCGAATCAGCAACCAGCGGAGGGCATCCGAGGAGGCAGGGGGCTGCGGAACCTGGTGGGGGTTGGCCTCGTTTCGCGAGGAGATTCGCGGGAAGCAACGTGGCCCCCATTGGTTTCCCCGTGCGCCTTTAAAGAGGGCGGCCTCGGTCTGAAGGGGGGGACCCAAGCGGAGAACTACTAGGCTGGCAGGCTTGGAGCCGGAGGCCCGCGACCGGGGCCACGAGATCTCACGAGCCTCCAGCGGGGTCGCCTAAGGTTGCGACCGCCTTTCCTAGCGGCCTACGGGGAAACACATCGGAAGCACGTTGCTTTTCCGGTATCTGATCGCGTTAGGACGCAGGCCCGCAGTAGATCCCGCGGCCCCCCGTCTCCAGCGCGATGACCAGAAAAACGCGGGGGGAACCTCGTGGCAGGCCCAGCGAATTCCTCCCCCTTGCTTACCGCGACCGAACGGGCCCGACCCCTGAAGGGTTTTCAAGCTGAGCGCTTGACAAGCCGCGGCGTTTGGAGCAAGAGAGACAACGCCCGCGCACCCACTGGCCCCATGGTTCTGGAGCTTAGCAGCCGGGCCGCGATGAGCCGGCGACGCGTGTGGACTGTCTTCCGCTTCCTCTCGCCCACTGTTCAAGCCCCTAGCCCGATTGGGTTCCGCTAGCCTCCTAAGCCCTGCCGTGTGCCGCCTTCTTGTTTTTTTTGCGTGCTAGAATTTTTGGCAGATTCTGGAGCTGTTCGCACCCTTTTGCAAAAGTTTCCAGTCTCTTCAAATTATACTCCCTACAAGCATAGAAAAGCGCTATCTATTTAAAAACGTGAAAAGCGAGCGCCGCCATCCTGAAAACGGTGGGAGCTTAGCACAGGCAACAGCTTCCAACGTCGAAAAAACTCCCAGGGCGCCTTGCAAGTTCGTGCCACGTTTGAGTGCTGCGGGCTTCGGCCCTGCCTTGAGCTCCGGGCGTGCTTAGGGCTCGCCTGTTTGGTTTGAGGTCGGGCGGGCTTCCGCTCCGGCGGGTCTGGTTGACTTGCGCGTGGGATTTGGGTGTGTTCGGTTCGCGTTTCCGTTTGGCGTGGGTTTGGTTTGAGTTTGGCCGGAGTTTGGCTTGCATTTGCGTGCGCGCGTGGTTTCGGTTTGGTTTGAGTTTGGTCCGGGCTTGGTTTGGGTTTCGGCCCGGTTTGCGTTTGGTTCTGGTTCGACTTGAGGCCGGTGGAGGTTTGGCCTGTGTTTGGCCTGCGTTTGGTTTCGGTTTCGTTTGCGCTGGGTTTCAGTTTCGCCCGCATTTGGTTTCAGTTTGGCCACGGTTTGGGCCTCGCGGGGTTTCTTTGGCTTCCGTTTGGCTTAAGTGGTTGCCTCAGGCTACCAGAAAGCGGCGCGCTTTTGCGCATCTTTCAGCCTGGCCCTTCTGGTCTTCGACTTTTTTCCCGGCGCTGACTGGAACAAAGTAGGCACAGGCTAGCAACTTCTGGACCATCTTCCAGCTTGAGCTGTTAGGGCTTTCGTCTTTTTACCGGTTGCGCCTAGGAAACTCCTTGCCCCCCTTGCCCGGCGTTTAAAATTCTGGCCCTGCATAAGGAAAACCGCGCACAGCCCCCCAGGCTTTCCGAGGAGCTTGGAGAAGGCTCACCCATGGGCCCCGACCGGGCTGCCGTAAATGTGCCGGGGCGACTCCAGAGGGGCCCGCGGTCCCGAAGAAGTCCCGCGCCCGTCCTGGTTTTCTCTCTGTTCTGGCGGAAGTTTGGACCCGTCTCGAAGTGTCTCCAAAATGACAGACGGACACGCCCCAGATGGGTCAAATTTGGGCAATTTCGACCCCTCCCCGGCAAGACCCTCAGCGGCTTCATTTCGTTGCGGGGAGAGGACGTCCCCCCTGATTAACGAAACAAAAACCGACCCCGGCCGCGTGTTGATTCTAGTCGCCAGAGCTCCCGACCCCGGGCGGGCTCCTGGGCTTGAAGCAGTCTAGAGCCCCGCTGGAGCGTTCTGAAAGACAAAGACAGGCAGCGCACTGCACTCGCCTCAGCACCCGCCACCAGCCTCCGCGCGGCGCCCTCGAATCTCGGGAGCGAACCAAGCACGAAGAAGACCGAGGCGGACACACTGCGCACGCAGTGCAGCCCGCCACCAGCCACCGCAGCGCGCCCGCGAATCTCCTGGAAGAGAGGAAAACGAGTGAGGAACAGAAGAGAAGACAAAAGCAACACAGGCGGGACCGCGTTGACCGTGTCAGCATTGAAGGACCACGCGCAGCCAAAGCCGCAGCACCCATCGCCATACCATGCCCCGCCCAAGTCCCTCCCCTTGCCTCTCTTGTTCTTCTCCCCGCTTCGTTCTCGCTCCTCGGGATTCGGGGGCGCGCTGCGGTGGCTGCTGGCTGCGGGCTTTCTGCGGTTCAGAAAACCCAAGAAAAAGAAGAGAGAAGAGCCGAGGAGACGCACGCGCAGCGCGTCGCAGCCTGCCCGACTCCGGCCCCAGACTCAGCGCAAGCGGCAGGCCTGGCCCAGGTTTCGAGCATGCTGCGGGCTCCGGCCTTGCTTCGAGCTCCGGGCGTGCTTTGGGCGCGTCTGTTGGGTTTGAGGTCGGGCGGGCTCCCGTCGGGTTTGGTCGGTTTGGGTTTGGGTTTGGTTTCGGCAAGCGCCGGGGCCGGGGCCTGGCGAGCTGGGCTCGGTGTGGGTTTGGTCTACGTTTTGCCTGGGTTTGTTTGGAATAAGTTCGGCCCACGCCTAAGCTTGGCCCGGGTCTGGGTTCGGTTTGGCTTGAGCCTGCTTCGGGTTTGTTCCCAGTTTGGTTTGGGTTCAAGTCTGGGCCTGCGTTTGGGTCTGGCTTGGGTTTTGGCTTGTGTTTGGTTTGTGTTGGAGTTTCGTCTGTGTTTGGTTTGGGTTTGGTTGGTTTAGGTTTGGTTCGAGTTTGGTTTGGGTCTGCTTTGGGAGGGCTTGTTCGAGGCACGTACCACGAGGGCACGGCTTGGCTTCCTAGTACGCGATTTTACGCCACACGCGTGAAAATTAAGCATGCACCTAATTCGGAGGCATCTAACGGCTCACATAACACGTAGTGTCCTGTTGCTTGCAGTTTTGTAGTTTCAGTTGGGTCTTAAAAGCGTACTAGCTCTATACCTAGGTTTGTATCTCCCTTCGCGCGGTCAGAGTATCTCGATACTCAATACACTTGCACTAATGCCCACGCGTGCTTTTACTAATGGACGCGCTTCAATGGTCAGAGCACGGCTGTTGAGCCGCAGCCCTTGCGGCAGGTCCAGAGTTACAGAGTATATGACACAGAAGCCATAGATTAGGCAACTGTGTGCCCTTGTGCATTGGTTTCGATTTCCCGGCAATACAGCGTAGTACTGAACTGCCAGCCATCGACCGTCGGATTCCAGCGCGCCGCGTGTGAGCTAAGAGATAAGGGGCTGCCGGAGTTTCCATATACTGCATGTCGACCATTGCGCCGGATTCGGTTTGCCTGGCTACTGAAATTAGTTTGGCATATCCCACTATTCAAACCTTCGACGTCATCGCTGCAGACCTGCGCCGTGCGCTTGTTACTCGGATGAAGCGCTGTGCTATGCGCGTAGTCGAGAATGAGTCTTGTCATCCACGTTCTCTTACTGCTTCGATTATCAGAGTTACCACCTACGCCCTCC